CCCCCAGGCTCTTTAAGGCTTTCCTGGACCTTTCAGGATTTGGGTTTCTTAGGCTGGCGCGCGGCGCCGCTGTCAAGTCAGTACGCATATCCATAAGTGTGTCTGGCCTCGCGCCAGTCCGGGATGAGCCCGTAGAGTGCCTCCCGTGGACCCGTCGAACGGGTGTCTGTCGAACGTAACGGGTGTCTGTCGAACGTATCCCTTGCCCGGATACAGAGCAGCTCGCAGCGAGGGTAGGTGGCCTAGGCCGAAAGAACTCAGATTTTTGTCTCATCTTTGGAATTCCAAGTTGGCTCATGCCTTACGTGGTCGCAGCGACCGAAGTTTGTTCAAGGTTCATTGGAACCTGTCGCGAGCTTAGTCCCCCCCCTTCCCCTTCCCTCTCCCTTTCTTTCTTTGCTTTTTGGGTTTTCCTGAATGGAATACTCAGGATCATCCCTTTCTTTCTTTGGTGTGTCCCTGGACGATTGTTCGTAGCTGGGAACACCTGCCTTTTTCTTTTCTCTCCTCTCCCTTTCTCTCCCTCTCTCTTTCTTTCTTTCTTTCTTTCTTTCTTTCCTCTCTTCAGTCCCTGGATGCTTTTGTCATAGCTGGGAACCCTTCTCCTCTCTTCCTTTGGTCCTTTGGTGTGTCCTTGGACGCATGCGTCGTAGCTGGGAACACCTTCCTTTCTTCTCCTTCCTTTTTCTCTTCTCTCCCTACCCCTCCCTCCTGTCGGGACCTTAGCTTGGGATGCTACTAGCGGCTCCTGGCCTTACTACTACTACTTTGTCCGTACCTTCAATACGTCTCCCCTCGGGGAGGCGTGTGTGTGTGTGCCCCTTGTAGTCACAGGGATTCCGTTGAATTGTTTCCATTTTCTTCAGCAAGGGGGATGCCCCACACCTGAAGAGAGGGCATCTAACAAAGAGGCTCTTCAGGTTGTGCTGATATCAGCAAGGACGCTTGCTGACGTACCTGCATTAACTTTTAAGTTTCCGTAAAGGGCTAATGCACTCCGCAGTTGTGAGCGACCGTCGTCATCCTGTCGTCCCGATCTCGACTTGAGTTTTTGGCCTCACTTCCTTTTGAAGACCCCCAGGCTCTTTAGGGCTTTCCTGGACCTTTCAGGATTTGGGTTTCTTAGGCTGGCATGTGGCACCGCTGTCAAGTCAGTACGCATATCCATAAGTGTGTGTGGTTGTGGTTGTGGCTGTGTGTTGTGCGTTTGTGTCTGGTCGTACATCCCACACAACGCACCCTCCACACGTCCGACATCACTACCATTGTCGCTTTTGCACTGAACACCTGTATTTTCCGGGCATGCAACAACACCTACAAGCAAATTCGAGGGGCTGGGATTGGCTCCCAACACTCTCCTGCCCTCTGCAATGTCGCCATTACCTTGATCGAACACTCTTGGCACCAGCTTCACAACAATCTTCTCCAGCACACAGCACTCCACTTCTCTTACTACAGATTTGTTGACAACCGCTTCATTGTGCACAACGAACACTTCCTCTCCCACCCAGCCATCCAAACCCTCATCCACCACAGCTTCTTTGGTGATCCCGTCGGGCTGGAAACTGTGGAAGACTTTCACCTCCTGGGATTCAACATTGACCTTCCACAACGCACCATCACCTACATCCAACCCAATCAACCCTGGAAAATCAGGGATCCCACCAGCGCCGGTAGCCAGCGCTTGGCTCTCTCCGGCTTAGCTTCACGCCTACACGCAATATACACATACAGCTTTCCACCGACCACAGCAACGGCAGCAGCTGAGGAACTACTCCGGCTATACGTCCAAAAAGGACACGACTCCACCGAATGCCGGCGCTCTCACGAAAAAACAGTTGCCATGGGCTTTCTCCACGCACGCGCGCCGACATCGGCCACGTGTGTGTGTGTGTGTGTGTCAAACCCTGTCCCTAAGGGCCTACTCCACCTTTCCATGTTTCAATGCAGGGGGCTCACGGGTCTGTTCCTGGCGTGAGCCAACGAAGCTCCAGGTTCAGACTAGGATATCGAAAGAGGACGCTCTTTCGACGTACCTGCAACCTGACCTTTTAACCACGCTGTCTAATTTGCTTGGTTTGATTCCATGGTTCTTCATGCTACCACCCCCAAACCCTTTTCCCACCGCAGACTTGCAGCCGCTTTGCAGCCGCGCTTGTGTGTCAGATCGTTTTTTCAGTGCAACTGCAAACATTGTTCAGCCATACTGTTCTCGCCGACCTTTTCGCCTTGCTGTTCCCTCACCTTTTTCCACCTGGGAATTGAGTTAACAGAAAACCAATGTCAGAGTGTGTGTGTGTGTGTGCGTTGTGGTTGTCTGTCTGTCTGTGGTTGTGTGTTTGTGGTTGTCTGCTTGGTTGTGTGTGTGTTGTGGTTGTGTTTGTGGCTGTGGTGTTTGTGCCCACTGCGATCTGGCGCTTGCTGCCGAGGTCCGGCAGTGCCCACTGCGATCTGGCCCCACTTGCTGTTGACGTGTGGGCGTGCCCACTGCAACCACTGCGCTCTGGTACTTGCTGTTGAGGTCTGGGGCAAGGCCAGGAAGAAGAAAGGAAGAAAGGATAAGACTAAACCCTCACCTGACAGGTGGGAACTAAAAGCGTTGGCCTCGTGACGTGGTAGCCCGCAGTTTGAGTCGTAATTAATGTTAGTTCCATCGGAGGCGACGATGATTTGCCGAGACACTGAGCCGAGGTCCAAATCAACGATGTTTCTGGGATGAGCGGCCTTGGACAGCAGTGATGTTGCGAGGTTGATCTGGTTTGACGCCTCGAAGATTCTAGCAAATTGGTCATGGTCCTGAAAGTGGAGGATGCGTTCCATTCCCGCCAATCCCACCAGGTCCAGCTAAACCCACCAGGGCAGCGATGAAATTCGGCCATCCCAGCGGCCAAGAACTTTGACAAACGGCGAGTCAGAAGCTGCAGCTCTGTCTCATTCTTTCCTCAGTGCACTTCGCTCAGGACACTTGCCGTTCACATGCCCCTGGTCGCCATGCGACTTTGAGGCAATGAAGCGTGAGCAACGCGGAAGGATATCCCTCAAATCATTGAAGCAACTTTAGCAGCTCACGCCTCACTTACCACAAAAAGGGAGCATAGACTAACACATTCTAAAACCGACATAAACCAAGTGGCTTGCATGGCTCGTCTACCGTTAGGCAAACCCTAATCATTTTAGCTGTGGATTGATCATGATGGTTGAGTTGTGAGCGATTATTTTGCCGAAATAGTGCAGTTGTCCATGAATTGCCATAAAATACACCCGACTCATGTGGTATCCACTTGGAGCCTAGGGCCTGGGGTGTGTCATCACGCTCCGTCGTGGGCAGGCACGTGGCCAGCCCTCTAACAGGTGCAACCTGGTGAACAAGACTTTGCAGCTGCATTTGGGCCAGAACTTGCACTCCACAGGCTTCAGTAGACCTTCACATGTCCGCTTAAATTGTGCCATTCTTCACGGAAAAAAAACATACAAAAACGTGTACCAGGGTGTGTCTACCAGGATGGAGTCCACCACCGACATCTCTCGAGTAAAAAATGGACGATGACCTCTTCCCATGTTCATCAATTTTTCACTTTTTGCGATGCACACCCACTGTCGCAGCTCAGGTTCTAATCGCTCCACTGCTCCACATGAAGAGGGACTTTTCATACTTAAAGTCTTTGTGCTGCTTCACGACCTGCCAACGGCTCGAGCAGCTACGAGTTCATGAGCACTCGGCCTGTGTGTTTCCATCTTCCCACAGCAACTTGAACCAATGGGCCAATGGGGGCCTGGAATGTAGAAACATATATACATATTGAGTGCTGGGCATTGTATACAAATGTGTAAACGCTTTGTCGGCGAAGCGCTCTGGCAGCAGGTGAAGTGCCCTGACGCACCAAGAAAACCTTTGAAGCACCTGCGAATCCAACTTGACGACAAAAAATAACTGCAAGCAAGCAGCAAATTCGATATACGGTTTGGATGAGTCTTGCCATTCCCCAAGTATAGACTCAGGAGGACAAACAAAAGGTGGGTTGGCAAGGAATAGGCGATTGAACCTGGGTTCAAGCCAACGCCTTTTCCGTTTGAAAACGGGTTGCGCAGCCCATTTGGTGCAACGGTGCACCTCCCCATGGATACGGCCTGGCGCATGGAACTGGCGTGCGGCCAGTCATGGCAGAACCCTCTTGCTCACAACTGTCAACTGCATATGACATCCGTGTCACAAAACAACGGTATCTGCGGATATCTGACACTGCTCCATTGTTGCAACCTCACAAATTTCCCGGTGCCACATGCGCTAAAACGTCATCAAAGCTCTTTCTACTAAGATTGACTAATGCTCTCAACAATAAGATACAAAAAGGCCCTCATTGATGCGCTGAAAAAGGTGAATCGGAGGAAACACTCAACTGCTACACCGCTAGCAAAGCACAAGAAACGTCCTATCTAACAGGTACCAAAAGGAACGCTTGTCGGACCGCGTTAAAAACGAACTCGCCAGGCTCACTGCTAGTGGCTGCCAGCAGGCACCGCTGCTTCAAGTCCTTGGAGGAAATCGACCAAAAACGTCATGAAACAATGAACCCAATGACAGGTGTTCGTGCTCTTATCTTTTCATTTCGTGCTTTCTATGTGACTAGAATTGACCTTAATATCACTATAGACTATAGTCTACGGACCTACAGACTCTGAACTTCTTCTATCTTCGATCCGCTCAATAAGGGCGTCCCGGCGAGGAAAGGGAGCACACACTTCAACACCAAATCCTCTTGACCTTTCGGGAGCCATCGGCTCGTACCTGCTGCGCGCATGCGCTGCCGCGCAAGAGGTGAGGCGAGCAATCCACGGATTCGCCCTGCTTGGATGGCGCAACGGCCAGTGACAAGTTTATGGGACGAAAGTAATGCATGAATGACCTATAGCCAGCAGAAATCTACCAGACATGTTTCGTGAAGGGAGGTCCATCATGTTGCAGGAGCAATGTTGTCAGTCAGGGCTGGGCCATGCAAAAACTGCGCGTGCTTAAAAAGTTAGAACCAGTGGCCTCTCTTAAAGAAGGCCCACGGAGATGGCAACTTGACACGCTTGGGACGATACCAGCTACAATTTGCTTCAGTAAGAGTTGCACAGTAAACACAACCTCTCTCCGGGCTCCACAATCAGTACAAATCTGCAAGGAGGCAGCCGCAGCCTTGCAAAGTCTTCTCTACTTGTGTCTCTTTACTTGTTACCTTGCATGAAGGCTCGTCCTATGAACAACAATGCATATAACTGTATACAAACATAAACATATAGACCCCCATAAAAAAAAGAAAAGTCCTTTCAACATGTGTAAGAAACCATTTCTATATATGCACCTGGCCATTGGAACATCGCACCAAGGAACATCTACAGGTGAGTGAGGTCCCATGCACCATTGACCCCCCTCGATGCCCATCTCACCTTTGCATGGCACCGTCGCCTGAAGTCGGCCATTCAAACATGTTCGAAGAACGCGCAACGTCCACCGTGCTAATTTCAACCTTAGCCAACCCCTGTGCAAAGTTCTGGCGTGCATCATTTCCACCAAACAAACAGTACGGTCACTTCAAGTCAATGCAACGACTGTGCACGATTGTGGCTGCCCTCACTGAAGCGCTTAACCAAGCTATAGCTTCACTCTTAACACATCTGTGAAACACTCGGGAAAGTTGACCTGGAACCTGAAAATGAACAGACTTCCATGTGGGTCTCTTCCAGGGCGTAAGTGCCCAGATTTCGATTCTATGATTCTGGTGGCGCCATCCCGGCAGACTCAGCACCTTTAGAACTCACCCACTCGATGCCACCCCGCATCCAACGAGAAAAATTATGCATTCGAGCCTGGGCCGTGCGGGCGTTCCTGGCGTTCATGACAAACACACACACACACACGAAAGTCGCACCTACTGAACCAAAATGAACCAAAGACCTTTAGTGTTACACCAGGTGATGTGTGCCAGCGGGACAGCATTTCTTGAAGCTTGCCATGAAGTGCATTGATGTTCACCTTGGGCTCCCCTGGCCTTGGATATCCTTGCATATTCCCATCATTGTGTTTTCCCACGAGTTTCATGTGTAGTTGACATCCTCCACAGCATCAATATTTGTACTGTATATTGTTCTCACCACTCCAGCAGCACAAATCCGAACATCCGCCACTGACTCAGGCCTAATGAGGAAATGAATCCGTTGCTTGGTTTCCGCAAAACGCGAGCAAATATATACATATATATCCACGGTAGAAATCATATATGCAAAGCCTGCTTTCAGGTAGATCCGCACTTTGTTACTTCTCACTTTCGTTCTTTCCCCCACGCAAACAACATATAGTTATATACATATATCATACTATTTGTACATCTCTCTATTTTCGCCAAGCCCTGATTGCGTTAAGGAAAACCGAGGCCATCTCCATTTGGGAGTGATCCCCCTGTTATAGCTCCAGTAACTGCGACGGCATCTGTCCTGGGTTTCTTCGCTTCACTGGCAGAAACCTTGGACTCCTGGCAGGGAAGTGTTCATCCAAAAGTCTTGAACATGTCCAAAATGCTAAGTTGTGGACCCCCACAATACTTCCAGCTCAAGAAGCCAGCCTGCTTCGATGATTTCAATATGTTTCGCTATGTTCTGGCTCAAGACTCGCTCAAGTGAACTGCTCTTCGGGTCCGACAACAAACACATGAATCCAAAGTACTCCAAATGTCCCCAACTTCGTAGCGACCATTCAGAGTCGGGTTCTGGTGGTTGCCTGATCAGTCTTGCACCCTGTTTCAATGGGAGATCCTTTCTACCAGGTGAAAATGAATTGCAATGCAGTGCCCCACTGCTTCAGTGACTCGGTTGGGCAGCTTGCAATTGGTATGTACTAGAAACTTTCGCAGGGCTAAAGAAACAAGCTATATTAACAACTGAAATGCATTGGCTGTGGGTCTTGCACCACTCACAAAATCAAGTTAGCGCGAACCAATCGGACCTCACGGCCACGCTTCGCCTGGCCAAATGACTGGCAGGGCATCGGAACCATGCAGTTTGAAACCTCAGACTTGGGCCTGCGTATGGAACACAAATCTGTTGCCACAAAGCGGGCGATAGGTGAACAACCCTCTAGATGATGATCAAATGCGCTCCATGTCAACTGCCCAAAGAAAAACTGCCCCTACAATCCTGATAAAGCACCGACCTTTGCAGTAGGAGATCCGCGACGGACGACTTGTGCGACCAAGACAAAGACCTACTATACATCGTGGAAGGTCTTGCTTCTTGAGCGTCGGCCTGAGCGTCAGCTACCACCCATGACCACACCGCCGTGCCTGGGCGGGGACCTCTGCTTCATGAATTTTCTTTACCTGCTGCATCAAGTCAGAATCTCAAACGAAAACTTACTGTAATAGCAATGGCCTCCAACCTAATAGCGATGGCCTCCGACCTACTGTAATAGCGATGGTGCGTCAGGGTAAAATTTCAAGGAAGGAAAGCAGTGATTGGTTGGCGTTGGACAAAGCATGAAGAAACATCTGTTTAACCGACCAAGATGGATACAAAACTAGCACATCATCTATAGATCATATATTACAGAAATTTAAATAATCATCCTTACACTTGTCCAAGACACCAGGGCTACAATCCCCATTCGCCTCACGAGAAATGCACTCCTTTGCGATCTGCAGGACCTCTGGGCTCGTCTTCAGGGTGTCCACCGCCTCGAGCTCACGGGGCCCGAAGGACCCTGGGGTTTGTTACTACTAGCAATGCCCTTGTTACCCGCAGCTTCTTGCTACTACTAGTAGCAATTAATGCCCTTAGCTACTAGTAGCTCCTATATATATATATATATACGCAATATGACATATAATTACTGCAAAATCCTTGCAATACTTCTCAAAGTGAAAGGACGATTGATTGTAGAGGAACATGGTCATCCAAGGGATTCAAGAATTTGAGGCTGACATTCACATGTGCGAACCTGCGAACCACGCAGCCCTTCGCAACGAACGCTCTTCGGCCGTGGCCTGCACAGTCTCCTGGTGGGTGAGGCCCAAAGCATCTCGCAGCTCCATGGCCATCTCCGCCTGCTGGCCTGCAAAAAAGAAGCTCGTCACGCACAATGTCACAAGGATCCAACAGGTTCTCAGGATTCTAGAATTCCGGGGGTCGGTGCGGTCAGGAGCTGTTGTGGAAGATCTGCACTTCGTCTACCAAAAGCCTCCAAAGGTCAGCCTTTTTTGTAAGTACGGACTTTCGTCCAGGCAAAACATGTCCGTGGACATTCGGATTGTTTAAGAATGTTGAAGGTCCCCCAGCTCTGCACATGTTGCGTGCGGCATGGTATGACCAAACGCAAGTGCAGATGCAGGTATGACAGAACGCCTGCGGAACATGTTTTGTGACACCCATCTTCCCACACCATCTCAATATGTCGTCCTTTTGAGGGGAACCCTCCGAAGAACTCGTTTCTCGGAGACTCGGAGCAAATCCTGAGTGTGGCCTCCAACCTAGTAGCGATGGGCTCCAACCTAGTAGCGTCCTTGCTCCTAGTAGTAAGGCCAGGAGCCCCTAGTAGCGTCCTTGCTCCTAGTAGCGATGCCCTTTGCTCCTAGTAGCTTCTTGTTACTACAGTAGTAGCGATGGCCTCCAACCTAATTGCCTCCGAACTGAGCGTCCACACGCCATTGAACTCTAGCCTTCAGCAACTCTGCGCGGGCCTTGCTCGAGCGATGGATTCCGGAGCTGCGGACAAGCTCGTCCGATGGAGGGTTTGCTGCACGAATGGCTCGGAACAGAAAGCGCAATGTGCAAGACCAAGATCAATTCCAAATGCCACGTCATTTGGTTCTGTTCACTTTTGGATCGGAGTAGGGCACTGAGATGCACTGAGATTCAGTCTTTTCTGGCCACATCCAAAGCTGACTAGCAGTTTGCATTTTGTTAGGGCCTGGCTCCCTTCTTCCCCATGTTCCAGACCAACCCCCACCATACCCTTCAAACGCACATTCTTCATTATTATTCCATTCTCCACTCTGCTCCTGATGTGGACCCAGGGGGATGGTGTCCCACTGACCGCGTCGATCGACGCGGGAGCATCCGTCTGGCTCGGATCCCCGGACCGACTCCATCTGCGGAGCCTGGGTGACGGTGCCTGGCTGTCCAGGCGGCGAAGCCGAAGGGATGTCAATTGCTTGGGATGTTGTTGGCCAAAGCTATACTAGTAACAAGGGCATTGCTTAGGTGGCCAAAGCACACCAAATGATCAGATGCAACTCGACTCACCTTGCATTGGAGGTATACGGTCTTTGATGTGTTTGTGGGACTCTTTGATGCCTGGGCTGCTTTGGGCTTCCAGGTGCTCTTGGCGCTGCAAGCGTTGCGTCAATACAAGTCAACATATATAATGGGGTCTGAAGGGCAAACAACGGGATCAAAATCAACCGAAACTGTGGGAGAATCTCGCAAACTCTGGCCACTGGCATGGGTCCAAAAGATATATTGATCAAAACACCTCACACGTCATATTGTATACTGTATAATACTGTATATGCATAAATTGTAAACATCTACAGTAGTGACAGCGTTGCAAAGGATTGCAAAGGGGTCCCTGTGAAAACCTGAGGTGAGGGGAACGTGAACATTTTACAACCCCCGCCCCTCCACTGCAGGTGGATCTGATTAGTCTGCTGGGGGCTGCATGTTGTGATCCAGTATGTGCCGAATCATTCTTCGTTGCCAAGTATTATGCCATGTGCTTGCCCACTCCCCCGAGATGCCTTGCTTTCCCGAACGCTTGTGAAGCTCGCGATGCCTAAAGGCGCTAGGGCGAGTGACCCATAGGAGAATCCAGCACCATCACCAGCATCATCATCATCACCATCACAGGGCCGAACACTGGTGCCATAGTACATCTCGGCACCGTCTATGAAAACCAAGCTCCCTCGTAGTAAGAGACCGTACTAGTCAGCCTGTGGGTCAAGAATCGTCAGAACATGTCACAACGGCACGAATGTTCATCCAATCCAAGAAAGCCGAACCCGAACCCCCCGAACTCCTCCAAACCCACGAAAGATGGCCGTGAGTCCACAGGGGACCGCCATGGATTCTCTGCTTCGGGTGATCGTTCCATTCCCCCTTGACACATCCGAGCGTGCTAGGATGACACCCCTAAGAAGGTCCTGGTAGCTTAGCAGTCTCCGACGTGGGTCATGACACCACTTCGCAGATCTTCCTGGTGGGGACTCATGGCGTCCTACCAGTGTTGAACCTACTCCCCGAAGCCTGGTGAAACGAAACCCAAGACCCAATGGATGCCGAGAGCTTTTAACAACCCAGCCATTGCCATGTGTGGCACCAAATGCCAAGTAGCATAAAGATCATCAAGGAACAAATCTCCTTGTGGAGTTCTAACCAGGCTTCCAGCTTGCTGGGCTAACCCCACACAGCGTTCAGAAGAGTCTTCTCCACCTTTTGTTGCTCATTCCTCTGCCGGACCACCCTTCGGTTGAACTCCTGCGGGGGCAGGATGATGATTGGCATGATTCGGCACGATTCTGCAAAGGTGGCGCCGTTAAATCTGACTAGTAGACGTGCCCAAGGGCACATTGGTGACGATTCTGACTAGACTGGTAGAAAGATGACGATTCTGACTACTAGACGGGCCCAGTCTAGAAATCTTGAAAAGAAATCCGGCGGGCCATTGGCACACCCCTTTTGACGGGTGCACCGTGAGCATTAGCAAGTCTTGACCAGCGATAGGGCATGCCGTGACCCATCAGGTTGTTCAGTCCTCCTTGATGTTACCACAGAGGGGTCGTTCAACCGATTGTCTAGGGGAAATACCAACAGGGATGTTGTTCATGATTGATTTTTATTCCTGCCCCTTTCGCGGACAAACTTGCCTCTTTCAGCTTGTCCAAGGCAGCTGTCTTTTTGTAAAGATCATCTCCACGAAACCTGGAGAGTCACAAGTGACAGACTTGACCGCGACTATAAACCCTATGATTTGGGTATATCCCATGACAAAGAGCAGTGGATGGTTAGTAAAGGCCTTTTTCAAAACGGTGCTAATTTATTGTTTTATTTGCCGACTGTTAATGGATGTTAATGGCAATGGGACAGAACCCTGCCTGTAACATCTCAACCATTGCATCGGCATCAGCCCCTTTAACATGACACCAACCATGCACCTACGAATCACTCGAACCCCTCTGCTTGTTTGGTACCAGGTTACCAGCCCCAAGGCAACATTGTGAGACCTGGTGCGGTTCAATTGAGCTGCTGCATGGTCCTAAAAGTGAACACCGGTTTGTCCATGGCACGAGCGGCTGAACGATTCGAAGCGGGCACTCTCCCGTCTTACAGAGAGGCACACCGTTGCTCCAAAGCCATGCGACTTCCAAGGCTGCACAACTGATGGGAGCCCCTAGTAGCGTCCTTGTTCCTAGTAGCGGTGAGACCATGGACACACCAGAAATACTGTCTTTCCCATCCCCCACTGCGACGTGTCACCTTCACAAAAAAAAAGAACCCTCCCATCTCCTGCGCAGGATGTCTCTCGCTTGGAACTGGCCGAGGCGGATTTGAAAACCGTGAATCAACACAAACATCTGATTTAGAGCGGTAAGGAGTACTGAAAGAACAAGACCTGCATCACCTAGGAGTATGCAGGCTACGGCCTCTATTAAAAGCTATTCAAAATGACCAATCTCTAAATTAATATGATAATATGACACTTAGAAGGTCTTAGTCAGCTTATCATCGGTCTGGTAGGCTAGGGATAAGCAGGTCAATTTCAGAGTTCAGGTCAACTCACTCATTCTGTCAGGTGAGCCAATGGCATGATCATGCCATTTTGGCTCAAGGAGCTCCATCATCCTTTTTGAACGCTTTACGGCGTTCGCCGTTGGGCCTGGGCGATTTCCATGGGCTACCGTGGAGGTGGTGGTCACTGGAGTGGCCGTGGCGGCGGAGGATGGGGCTCCCAGGGAGCTACGTTCAGCTCGGGAGGAGCGAATGCAGCTCACAATCCCTTCGAAGTCAAGCTCCCGAAGTTTCTGGACTGGCTCGAATACAACGAGGAGAACATGGCGGAAAACTCGATCGTCATGGTGGATCTCCCCTTTTCAGGGATGGCTGCCTAGAGAAATCATGGCAAACTCGGCTAGTTCCATCAACGTGTTGACGGAACGTGATCAAGTTATGCCGCCAAATTCTGGGTTCCACCTGTCCCTGTTCGGGAACTACACGCTCGATGGGATCAAAGCTGTGGTCGTGATCGCCTTGGACACAGAGACTGGGGCGATGAATGCGGGCTGGGATCGTGAGACGGCTGAGGCTCTCAGCCATCCGGCATTCCAACCTTTTTCATGGCCGATGCTCCGGGACACTTCGGCATCGTACACCGATGTCAAGGTGTACAACGGCAATGAGGTCTTGTTCCACTGGATCTTTCGTGGATACAGGGCGGACACAGATCTCACAGTCCAGCAGCAGTTCGTTGACGAGGTGCTGGTGAGGGAGGCAAACCGTGGCAAGCCACGCCTCTCGGTGGTGGTGGCCAGTTTTGTCGGCTGGAGGGTCACGGTGTTCTCTTTCGAGTGCGGAGGACGAACATACTCCGTTGGGCCGAATGGTGCAGTGGTTGCGGGCGATCATGCGCGCTCGCGCTTTGAGTTGCGAGTGTGCCAGAGATCGTCGCAAGACGCGATGGGCAATGATGCTGACAGAGTTGAGTTCCGGTTCAGGGACGCCAACAACAGGTTGGATCTGAAGTGCCAGAGGACTTCGGTACCAGGCACATGGCTCACAGTGTCCCACATCTCTGGGCCCACGCTCATCCAGACCATCCAGAATGTCAGGCAGGCTCGTGCCCGGGTGGAGGGTCCTGAACACACCGAGCAGTTCGGACAGCTTGCTGCTGTTCATGAGCATTGGTTCCATGCGGCGGTCGCCAAGAACCAGAGTGAAGTGGGATCCATCGTCGACTTCATCGGTCACCTCGACGAGGGAAATTTCCACATCACCTGTACTTCGAAGCTCTTTGTGGTGCAGCCGGAAATTGTGAACCCCAACGCTCTGGCCGAAATGCAGCATGCTGGATCCAGCAGGATTGCTCCAGCGGGACCGCCTGCTCTTACTAGTGGCGCATGGAAGCACGCTGCAGAAGAGGCCAACACAAAGGCCAGGGCTGATCAGCCCGGGTTGTCCGTGACAGCTCAGGCCGACTATGAGCTGTCAAGGAGGTCTTTCAACGCACCGCCAACTCGCTCGACCGACCACATCGAGGACGAGGCTCGAGACCAGGCGAGGAATGATAGGCGGTATGCAAGATCTTCCGCTCAGGTCACTCCAGCTGTTTTCGCGACTCAGATCCGGTCTCATGTGTTCAATGAGACTACAGCTACCATCGAAGAGCTCCCTCCCGGTGATCTAGAGCTCCCGACAAGGGCCGAGCCACCACTAGTGCAGGAGCCTGTTCAGGCCACGACGCCGGGAGCAGCTCCAGCATCTCTGGGGCCAGGTCACTCTGATCTGCAGTAGCGCGCACGAGGAAATGCGCGTGAAGTCGGATCAGGTTTCTCCGTTTTTCACCCGGTCGACCCGGGAGCTTTTTGGAGTGGTGGAAAACTGATCAAGGCGGCCGACCAGTCTATCAGACTGGGCAGGTGGTTCGGGTGGGATCATGCCTGAGCACCCTTTCGGTCGTTCGATCGATCCTCAAGATAAGAGGTTATTAATTTTTAAGATTTGCTCATATTTGTTCAAATTTTCTTGTTATTTGAAGCCTGTTCCATGTTTCTGATGGCCATATGATATGATAATATAACACCTCTACAATCGATCGATCCAAACTGCCGAGCGGTGGGCTTTGACATTGATCAATGTCGGCGCGATCGCCAGGTTATCAGAGGTGGGCCAAGATCCCTGGCCTCCTCACCACGACAGGTTCAGGGCATGTTGATAGGGGACCACGTCGTTCGACGCGCGTTCGCGGGACCGGTTCGTCACGTTCGTCGCGCGGTTTCGGTTCGAGCGGGCGTTCGCGCGCGGGACACGTTCGGGTTGGTTCCCTGCATGTTCATGCCTGTTTGATCTGTTTATTTTTATCGATGACATGTTCACGTCGCAAGATACGATTTTGATTTCATTTTTCTCTTTCCGGTCCCATGGATCGCTCGCTCGCAGCTTTCCTTCAGCTGCCGGTCTTCGACGAGCCGTTCGTGCGCGCTCTTTGCAAGCTGGGACTCGGGAGATCCGAGTTTTGGTTGGCTCTGGACGACAATGAAGGTCCGGACGAGCAGATCGCACGGATGCTCGTCGCAATGGGGGGCGACCAGGAGGATCGGGATGCGGTGCTGAGACAAATTGAACTGGTGCCTCTCCTGTTCAGTCTGGTGCACCAATCGAGGGACAAGATCATGGGAGAGATCGCCACTGATTTGGGTTTTGGGGAAGGGTCGGCGGTTAGGCCAGCCAGCAGGGTCGATCCGCCCAGTAGGCTTGGTCTCCCGGATCCGGCTATTCCCTTAGTCAAGAAACCCAAGATGATCCCAGCAAGTGAAGAGGTGACTTCCCTGAAGTCGGAAGAACAGAGCGAAAAGATCCGATGGGCTGCAAGGCTCAAAGCGATCGCAATGAGAGCTGGAGATCATGCGCTCATCAGCAAGCCGCTCCCTGGCCAACAGATTTCAGCGGAGGAGCAAGCCGAAATTCGATCCATGGTTTTCAGCTCGGGTGCGTTTCGCACGATACGTGTGAACGTGTTGGTTTGGGAAAAGATGGAGAAGTGGGCCAGTTCGGTCGGAATCTCCGTTTACCCCCTCACCGAAGCCGTGTTCGCTCGATATTGTCTTCACCTCCAGAATTCGGGGTGCGGACCATCGGTTCTGCCAGCTCTCAAGTACGCCGTGAAGTGGGTCTGCAAGAGGTTGGTCATGGAACCCCCTTCTGTTGATTCTCCCGCGATCGGGGCCATCATTGAGAAGGTCTATCAAGACAGGGGCAAGGAACTGAAGGAGGCGATCGCTGTTCCGTTGCCGGCAGTGGCTGCTCTTGAATACCTAGTGAATGCTCTTATCATCGAAGAGAAGATCCCGGCAGCCATTTTCGTCTGGTGGACTCTCATCCTCATTTACGCCTCGCTCAGGTGGGATGATGGCAGACATGTGGCTCCGACGTCCTTGGCGATCACCGAGGATGCGCTCATGGGACTGGTCTGGCAAACCAAGGTCGAGCGTAAGCGAAGGGGAACGCGATTCGCGGTTCCGCGGTGTTCGTTGTCGGGGATCGCATGGCTAGACGAAGGATGGAAAATTTTTCAACCATTTGTAGGAGATAGAGACTTTTTCATTTGGGATTTGGTGAGCGAAACCGAGTTCGATATCGCACCGGTCTCGTACCCAAAGAGCATCCCGTGGCTCCGTTATTTTTTGAGCTGCGCTATCGACGTGGCGCAAACGGATGGAGTGATCACTGAAGGCCACGCTGACGAAGCCAGGTCTTCTACGACGGAGATCACGTGGCACTCCATGAGGGCCACCTTGTTGTCCGCTGCAGTTAATTCGCAAGTGGATGACAAGATCATCGGGTTGCAAGCCAATTGGAAAGATCCCAGCCAATTGGTGCTCAAGTACGCTAGGCAGCGTAAAGAGCTCTCCATTCGCATGGTTAAGGACTTAGCCGCTCGCATTCGGTCAGAATGGGTTCCGGATCGGACCAAGTTCGAAGTGGAGGACGATGACGATGTCGTCGAACCTTCCCCATGCGAGTATGTGGTTAAGAGCTCTCTACCCCCGCGCGCGCTTGTGGCATCAGATCTTCGATACCACATAAAACAGGCTTTGATCAACCCGACGCACACCATTTCTGGTAGGTTGTCTTTAGATGATGTGGTATCGTTCGGATCGATCGCTCCGGGAATGGTCTGCCAGCATTGCCAGAGTAAGCTGCAGGCTGCCAACTCCTAGTTATAGCAGAAAACCAATGCGCAGTCGTTCGACTTGTTCGGATTCGGCCGATGATCATGTTTTCTTTTCAATCATGAGTGACAGTCTTGATTTCAATCCCTTAATTTGTAAGTGATCCAATGCCCCTTGTTTTCTGTGAAATTTTCTTTATGGCTGCAAGAGATCTTGGCCCTTCCTCAGATCGGAAGAAGCAATGGTAGATCGCACCACTTACACCAGTGAGGATCGAACACCGAAGATCGCCTTGAGGCAAATCTTCGCTCGGCATGCACTCAGCGAGAACCTGTGCAGAGCCGCTGCGGATAATGGTCTCTTGACAGTCGAGATCTTCGCCATGCTAGGTGATTCGGCGGCTCACGCCAAAGAAGGCATCAGAGCACTCATCCCGGGAGATCAACTCGGATCGACTACCGGTGAAAGAGATCTTGCCGTCATGCAGCTCGCTGCAGTATGGCTAGCATGCCAAGCTCTGCAAACACAGTTCGCCAGTCGCCGAGCTCGCATGGAAGAGGATCCGAACAAGATTCCGGAGTTGGCTCAAGAGGACCATGCTGAATTCAGGTCACGTTTTGTTCGAGCTCACCCGGACGTGATCCTCA